CCCGCCTCAGCCACCCGAATGCCGGGATTACAGGCGTGAACCACTACGCTCGGCCTAGGTTGTAGTTTCTTAAAGGTGAATTCTGAAAAGATAAGACATGAATTTTTCTTAAAAAGTCCACTGGTCGGTCTGTGCTTTGAATCTTTGGCCCGTGCACCATCTTGTAATGTCAGGTGGCGCTGGTGAAAAGCACTGATGCATGGAGCTGTGAGATCACATCGTACAGTGTGAGCTCGTCAGCGCCACTGGTCTCATCACAAAGATCGTTACTGTTAGGAAGCTGGCAAGTTCGCAGTGAGGATGTAGTTTTTCAAAATTCTTTCCCTCAGAAGCCTAAATTGTATCATTGTCAACAAGTAGTTACCTTCCTTAAGTGACAGTTTGGCAAGCCTCCCGGGAGAGTTGTGTATGACCAGTAGTTCACAGTGGAGGAGATGACTGCAGAACACCTGGAGCCAAGGAAGAGCAACCCAACCCTGCCGACCGTCCCTTCAGGTGGCAGAGGTGTTCCAGGAGAACGTGGCTGAGCTTGTGTCTCAGTCACACAGGGCTTCTCTGCGACACGGTTGTGCGGTGGTGCGCAACAGAAGGCCTTTGTGTGTACCTTCTGTTTTGTCGTGCAGAATGCCAGAAAGGCTGTACCCAAGGGTTGAAAGTTAATCAAAGTATTTTCCTCCTTCCTTCCTCCCGCTGGGTGAGGGTGGTTTTCTACCCCTGCCAGTATGGCCCGTCCCAAGTACAGACAGGAGTAAGACGGCTTAGTTCCATCGCCTTGAAGAGCACCTGCAGTTTTCACGCACTGCTGCTTGTGGGCCACAGTGCAGAGCCCGCGGTGAAAAAGGGAAACAGTGCCGTGTATTGTTATTACTGGGCCCGATGATGTCCTAGGGCCCCAGGGCCACACCTCGAGCACCGCCGCGCTGTAGTGCTGCTCTGTGGCCCTGCTGCCGTGGAGGGCTCACCCCTGCTGCATACGCTCAGGAGTTGTCAAAAGCTCAGAGATTACTCTTGAATCATACTAGTAGATTTAGGAACTGCAGCTTATGAAACATAACTGTTTATGAGCGAAATGCCAAAAATACCCCATTCCTTGTGTCACTATTGGAAACGCAAACCATAATCTGCGCCTGGAGTTTGGAGCAGTGCCCTGGAGGTTGGCTCACAGCATTCCGCAGGGGCGGTGCACCTGCACCACGGGCACCTGTGATGGTTTCCAGAGAACCTTTTCCAGGGCCAGGGAAATAGGCCAGCGTTCTTTAGCCTCCTTCCCCAGGCTGCTCGGCTTCTACCTCTTTAATTTGGCAGGACATGATCAATTCTCTCCACTTCGATGTATTTTTTTTTTTTCTTTTCTTTTTTTTTTGAGACAGGGTTTCACTGAGCAGTTCAGGCTGGCCTTGAATTCACTTCGTAGCCCAGGCTGGCCTTGAACTCACAGTGATCCTCCTCCCTCAGCCTCTTGAGTGCTGGGATTACAGAAATGTGCCACCATGCTTGGCAGAAGTATTTCATTTTTAAAATTCTAAAGTTATACATAACTGTGTGTGTGGATATGAGAATGTGCAGTTTGACAAGACCCCTTGGAGATTTGTGTACGTATGAGAAATAGTAAAACAGACAACCACAAACTCCACTCAGCCTGAGAAACTGAACATTGCTCCCCTCACTCGGAGGCGGAGGCAGGAGGATCTCCATGAGAGGCCGGCCTGTACTACATGGTGAGATCCTGTCTCAAAAAATAGAAAAATAGAACATTGCCAGTACCATCAGATTTCATTGTTTCTATAACTGATTTTTACAGAATAGCTTTATTTTTAAATTTTAGGATCATTATGTTTAGATTACTTTCTGCATATCTATGTGTATAATATTTAATAATTTCCTACTTAATAATTTACTTTTTTGTTTATTTTTTATACTGGGAATTGAACTTAGGACCTTGCATTTGCCAGGCAGGTGCTTGTGCCACTGAGCTATATCCCTGGCCCCAGATTTTTTGTTTGGTTTTGTTTTTTGAGACAGGGTCTCATTATGCAGTGCAGGCTGGCCTTGAATTTGCTTATGTGCCCCAGGCATGCCTTGAACTCTTGGCATCCTCCTGCCTCAGCTTCTCTTGCTGGAATTAAGGCATGCACCACCACACCTGGCAGTTGGAAAGTTTTAAAATCCACATTGGTGATTTTCCTAATTCTTTCACTGAAACAGACTAGATTTTCTCCTTTGTTAGGTCTTGCTTGAAGTTCCAGGCTTTGGGATTCAAATAACTTGGTAGACTGAGAGCTGAGGCATGAGGATTAGGCAGAGAAGTCATAAGCTGAATTTATGATCACTCTTTTGTGCATAAAACTCACATGCTTCTGTGTGTTAGTCTGACATTTGTAGATTGTCCAGTTTTTGTGAATTCATGATGTTGGCTATAGAATTTGAGACTGGCTGAAGCTCACCTAGTTAGCCTGGTTACTAAAAGAGGATTTCTCTCTGGTGAAAATTCTCTCCTGTGCATAGTTAACCTGGGCCCAAGAATTTGCTGTTTTGCCTGAGTAAAATAGTTAAGCAGTGCTTTGTTCTTTCTTATTGCCAACATAATTGTTCCCAGGATGACTGTGCCTGTGCTGTCTGTTCTCTTCTTCCCTGCCTGACCCTGTCACTCAGTGATGTTGGGCCAGGGTGAAGGGAGGAACTGCTGGGGGAATTGCTGCACTTGGCTCATCCCCAGCCTCCTCAACTTCTTTGGACACATAAATAGCCTTTCTCAGTAGAGGCTAGAGGGTACGGGCTGATCCCTCTGTCCTAAGGCAGTGGCAGCGTCCACGCCAGTGTGGGAGGATCCAACATTAAATAAAGCAGGTGCTTTCAAACCCAACGTAGCATCAGAGCCTCCGAGCTGGTGCAGGCTACCACCCGGACCCCGCTGCCTGATCACGATTGGTCCCGGTCACGATTCAGGTAGTGAGGAGCCGGGAAGTTCTGTGCTTATAACCAGGATTGGTCACCACTGTCTTCAAGTTCCAACTTCTTTTTCTGTTAATCAGAGTCTTCTCTCAGATTGTACAACTGGTCTTTCACATTTTAATTTATTTTCTTGTATTTTTTGGAGATAAGGTCGCCGAATATAGCCCAGACTGGCCTTAAACTCACAGTCTTCCAGCCCAGTGATCCCAGGTGCTAGGATTATTGGCATACATCCCCATGCTTGGCATTGTCACTGACATTTTAAAAACACCTTGTACTTTTGGGCCAGCTTAAGAAGCATAGAGACTGCTGAGGCGTATGAAGCATCTGTCTTGGTTTGATTTCTTCCCTCCTTGCCTGCTTCTTTTTCTTCCTTTTCCTTTTCCTCTTCTTTCCTTTCATGTCCTCCTCCTCTCCCCGCCCCTTTCCTCCTTTTTTCTTTCTTCCTTTTGTGCTAGTGATTGAACCCAGAGCCTTAGCACTGAGCTACCCGCTTCCTTGCCCCTTTTTACATTTTGAGATGGTTTCACCAAAGATGGTCTCGAACTTGGGGTCCTCCTGCCTCACCCTCCCAGAGTACGAGTGTGTACCATCCTGCCTACATCATTTTGATGAGCTTTGAACAGAAAAATTTACATGGCTGTATTTCTCTCCTAGCTCTGTCATAAAATATTATTGCAAACTGGTTAACTTAAAACAATAGAAATGTGTTCTCTTAAAATTTTAGAGAAACCCAAAATCAGGTGTTGATGGGTTGGCCCCTCCTGCAGGGTCTGTGGAGAATCGCCTTGGGCCTCTCCTGATGCTGTTGGTTTATAGACACAGCAGCTCTTCTCGGCCTCCACCGTCACTGACTGCTTCTCTGTGCTCTCTTTTTATAGAAGCGGGTAGGGCCCATCCAGATAGTCCAGGGTGAGCTCACCTCAAGATCTAGTTTACTTACCTCTGCAGAGATGCCTTTTCCAGATACGGTCACAGCCACAGTCGCTTTTTTGGGGGGCACCATTCAGCACACTGCCGTGGCCGTGCAGGCTCTCCTGCCATCGCTGGCCCGTCTTTGTAAATGCTTGGCATTCTTGTGGGAGAAATGGGGCAGAGTGAAGACTGTGCTTCACTGTCCAAGACTAGCAGAGAGAAGTGCAGAACAAGCACTGGATCGCTGGTAGCGGTTCTCTTTGATTGGATTTTTGTATTTTTAGGTATGGTGTCTGGAAATTTTTCCTGTGTGCTTTCTGTGGAGGTGAAGAGGCTATGGCAAGATGTTATCTTGCCTGAGCCGAAAAGTTAAACATTTAAACCCAATCTTTTTTTTTTTTGCCTTTTGAAGATGGTCTCGCTATGCAGTTCAGGCTGGCCTTGAGCTCACTTTGTAGCCCAGGCTGGTCTCAAACTTGCTATGTTCCTGCTGCCTCAGCCTCCGTAGTGCTGGGGTTACAGACAGTGCGCCGCCATGCCTGGCTATTAAATCTGATATTGATGAAATCAGAACATGTTGTTTCTCTAAGCAGGACAAAAAAATTTTACTTCTTCTCTTCCTAGATAGTTTTTCTTCCAGTTTGAACCCTCCTGTAGTTCAGTATACACATGATTTTATACAACAAATTGCACAGTTCTGCAGATTTAAAAAAATACAGTTCACACAGGCTTATGGTAATACATTTTAAGCAATATACAAGTGCATACTTTAAAAACCAAAAGCTCCCTTGCCTTTCCCCATAAGACTGGTGCAAATTTTCCCGACCGCTCTTGGATGTGGTTTGTAGGCACTGTACTAAGCTGGTGATTTCAGCTCATACAAACCGAAGTCGCCTTTAAATCCATTTCACGGAATCTTCCTGTTTTTAGTAACCAGAGTCCTGTGTTCAATGTGAAGATGTTTTATTACGGTGTGTAAGGAAAAGTTCAGGCTGTGAAATGTGCTTTAGTAATGCTTGTTGTTCTATGTTCTTTCCTTTGTAGTTCTAAAAGGTTTTTTTAAGCTTTTTTTTTTATTTTATGGAAAAAAATAAAACAAAATTTAAAGTTTCTTTTTTTGTTTCCCTTTGCAGATTTAATCCAGAGACTGGCTTCACTGTAGAAACACAGTTGTATCAATGGTTTGGGAAAGATAGTGGTGACAGGCAGGGGAGAAACAGCTTGGAAACACCAAAACAATGAGCATGCTAAAACCAAGCGGGCTGAAGGCCCCCACCAAGATCCTGAAGCCTGGAAGCACAGCCTCGAAGACACCTACTGCTGGTAATGTTTCATGTTTTTCCTTTCTCTCCCCCTCTTTTCTTTGACCCATATTTTTCTTTTTTTTTTTTTTTTTTTGGTTTTTCTCCGGTACCGGGAACCGAACTCACGACCTTGCGCTTGCCAGGCAGGCGCTTTTGCCGCTGAGCTAAATCCCCAGCCCCCTATATTTTTCTTTAGTAGTAGATAAATTATCCTGTATGACGCCTTCAAATTAAAATCTTTAAAAAAAGAAAACCTTACAATCATTCATATTCTTGAAAATATTTGAAAAAAGTTTGGATTAAAAGGCAGAAATTAAAGCTAGGCTTGGTGGCACAAGCCAGTAATCCTGGCACTCAGGAGGCAGATGCAGGAAGATTGCTGGCAGTTTGAGGCCAGCCTTGACTACATAGTGAGTTCAAGGTCAGCCTGAACTAGAAGATGAGACTCTGTTTCAAAAAAAAAAACAAACTAGCTGGGTATAGTGTTGCACACCTGTAATCCTAGCACTGAGAAGGCTGAGGCTGGCGGATCACAAATTCAAAGCCAGCTAGACTATATAGTGAGAACCCAACTCAGAAACACAAAACATTTTTTTTAAAGGTAGAATTTGGGACTGGGAATGTAGTAGCTCAGTGGTAGACTGCTTGCCTAAATATATATGAGTCCTTGGGTTCAATCACTTGCATCTCAAAATAAAAATAGTCTGGGCATGGTAGTACACGCCTATAATGCCAGCACTCTGGGAAGCTGAGGTGGGAGGATCGCCATGGGCTACATAAGCAAGTTTAAAGCCAGGCTGCACTACACAGTGATACCATGTCTCAAAAAGAAGACAGACAATTTTTCTAGATGCAGTGGTATATGCAGATAGTCCCAACTACTTGGGAGGCTGAGATAGGAGGATCACATGAGCCCAGGAGTTTGGGACCAGCCAGGGCAACATAACAAGATTCTATTTAATGCCTGGCAAGGGCAAGGTCCTGAGTTCGATTCCCGGTACCAAAAAAATAAAGACTGTTAAAAAAAAGCTGGGGGTGGTGGTGTGTGACCATAATCCCAGGACTCAGGAGATTGGGACAGGAGTATCACCATGAGTTTGAGGCCAGCCAGGACTACAAAGTGAGACTTTGTCTCAAACCACCCCCCCAAAAAAAAAATTTATATCTGGGAGTCTTCTTAATGGAGAGTCACTTCCTTTCAGTTATCATTTTTCTTATTTAGTTGATTTAATGTAAGGTGTTAAAATACTTATCAAGTCACTTGAGCTGTTTGATTCCCTACAGTGTTATTTCTTTCCATTTCTCTTCCCTGTGTCTTCCTGAACTCCTGTGATCTTTCTCCTTAGAGTTTAGAGAAAATAAACCTTAGTCTGCCCTGAAAGCTTTAGAACACTAACATGCACACACCTGTTGACTACTGAGATTAGAGGAGCAGAGTAGGCAGGACAGTGGCTGAGGTCCAGCTCACAGCCTTCCCAGATGCATTCTCTGTCAGCTGGTACAGAACATGTGCGTGCTGTGAGACAAATGGAGCGCAGTCGTTTATAAACACAGGAATGTATGGCTACCAGTTGCAGTGCTCCCCTAAGTCTGCATGACTCACTCCTCCTCGTTGGCCAGGCCTCAGCCAGATACCACGTCCTCCAGGAGACCTTCCTTGCTGCCTCTTTTGGAGGGGCTGCGGCTCCTCCGTTCGCGGTTGGACTGCTGCAGTTACCTGGTCAGGTGTGTTACCCTCTGTCTTCCCACCTCTAGACTCTGATTTGTCTGAGGACACAGGTGATACTGTCTTGCTTTTTTCCTGGTATAGAACAATACTGAGGTAAGAGATCAATGAACTTGGGCACAGTGAAGAAATCATTATTTAATCTCATTTAAAAAGCCCTCCAGAAGATGTTACTGCCCCTTTATGGATGAGCAAATTAGGCTGTGTGACATCCTGGGATCAGGGCGTGCCTAGAGAGTGGTAGAGTCAGGATGTGCACATTCCCAGTTCACACTGACGCCCTTGGAACCTGCATAGATGAGTTTCCGGTGTAAGTACCACAATTCTGGGAAGCTTTGGTTGCCATCTTTACCATACGATAGTGACTGCACCAAGCTGTGTTGCCTTAACAGGCCATTTGGCCAGGTGCTGTCTTTTTTTCTTTGCTGTGATTCCTACTTCCACAGTCGGAGAAATAGAGTTCACGTAGTCTGTAATAACCTTGGCCAGGGTTGCAGTACTGCATCCTCTAGGTCATCAAGCCTAATTGTAGATCTCTGTGGTTAAATGGTACCAATTTGTGAGTTTAATTGACTATTCAAATACAGGAATGGAGCCTATCTCAGTGGATCTGTGGGTATTTGCTCAGGATGTGTAAGGTAGAGGTGGAGTAAAAAATATCAGACATGTAAATATATATAGGTAAAGGACTAAATTTTTCCTCGCTTTGACTTAGTTGTGTTAGTTTTTTTGAGATAGGGTCTTGCTATGTGGTCCACGTTACCCTTGAACTCACTATATAGATGTTCCTTGTTCAGTGACCAAAATTCTGTTCCTGCAAGTAGGTGGTTAAATGGATTGGTTACTAAATAGGAATTGTGTTTAGTATGTACATTGCAGTATTCAGGACAAAGAAGTGGTCAAAGAAAACTCCAGCTTGATGACTTTGTTTTTATTTGCATAACTCTTATATGCAGTACTATAATGTATTATGACATAAAACTACAGTACTGTGCAGTACAATTAGCAAACATTACAGTACTGTATAAATAAGGTATACTGTATAAAAGAAAGACATTAAGGCTCTATAAACAATGTGTATGGAATTGTACAGAAAAAAGGTAAGTCCTAAGTACAAATGGCTGGCTGTAAGTCTGAAAAGCATGCCTTGGTCATAAGTCTGAACAGGTTAAATGAGTATCTCTAGAGCCCAAGCTGGCCTCGAACTCATGACCTTCCTGCAGTAGCCTCCTCAGTGCTGGAATTATAGGTGTGTGCCACAACCCTGGCTACTACTTCTAGTGTTTTTTTTTTGTTTGTTTGTTTTGTTTTTGTTTGGGTTTTTTTTTTGAGACAAGGTCTCGCTATGTAGTTCAGACTGGCCTTGAACTCACTTAGGTAGCTCAGGCTGGCCTCAAATTTGAGGCAATCCTCCTGCCTCAGCCTCCCAAGTGCTGGGATTACAGGCATGAACCACCACATCTAGCTATTCCTTCTACTGTTAACTGCAAATAGAATAAACCTCACCTCCAGCTCACTGAGTTTTGGTACCATTGAAAATGGTAGTCATGGATCAAGTACTCTGCTTCTTTGCCTGAAAAAAAAATTAGAACTCTTCTGTAAGAGTTGTGGATTAGTTTTGCTGCTGCTTTTTCTAGTTTTTTTTTCCTTTAAGTTAGAGGTTGCCTCCTTGAATATGAAATTAACCTTTCTGATCTTGTTTTTCAGGGGCATCTTCGGTAGAAAAAATAACATCTAGTGAAAAAGCCTCAAGCACTCCATCCTCTGAGACACAGGAGGAATTTATTGATGACTTTCGCGTTGGGGAACGTGTGTGGGTGAATGGAAATAAGCCTGGATATATCCAGTTCCTTGGGGAAACCCAGTTTGCACCAGGCCAGTGGGCTGGGATCGTTTTAGATGAACCCATAGGCAAGAACGATGGTTCGGTGGCAGGAGTTCGGTATTTCCAGTGTGAACCTCTAAAGGGCATATTTACCCGCCCCTCAAAGCTAACGCGGAAGGTGCAAACAGAAGATGAAGCCAACGGCCTGCAGACGGCTCACGCGTCCAGAGCGGCTTCACCTCTGTCCGCTTCCGCAGCCAGCGCGGTGGGCTCCTCCCTCACCACCCCTTCACATGTTCCCCATAAGTCTTCCCAGCCCACAGCCAAGGAGCCTGCGGCCACACCTCCCATCAGCAACCTCACGAAAACCGCCAGTGAGTCGATCTCCAACCTGTCAGAAGCCGGCTCCATCAAGAAGGGAGAACGCGAGCTCAAAATTGGAGACAGGGTGTTGGTGAGTCGAGTGCGCGTATCTCACGGCCTTCCTAGTGGCTGTCGTCCCCCCCCACTTTAGCATGCAGCTCTTTTAAGTAGGAATCTTAGATTTAGAAATACAAAACATTTTGACTTTAAAGTTAATGAAAGGAATTAGAGATCTGGAATGTTTGATTCGGAATTTTCTTTTTTTGCAGTGCTGGGGGCTGAACTGGGCCTTGTGCATGCTGGGCAAGCACCCAGTCACTGAGACACACTGGAATTTTTATAATTTAAAATAAATTATCGGGCTACAAGTGTAGCTCAGTCGCTGAGCATGTGCTTAGTATGAGACAGGCTGTGGATTTAGTCTCTAGTGGGGGAAAATTATTGATCACCAGCACTGTAACAGACTGAAGTCATCAGACCAATGTTACGCCCTCATTGGTCCACAAGTTCCCCAGTGCCACCCCTGTGCCCCCAGGCTTCCTGCCACACTGACTCAGGGCAGCAGTTGTGTGCCTTCTCCACACCCCACGGCCTGTGTAACTCCTGCTCCTCTTCTCACTGCAGGATGAGGACGAGGGGAACCCTGGGCTAGGTTACTGTTTGGTTGGTGACCTCCGCCATCCAGATAGAACTCCTGTGGTCTGTGGCAGTGGCTGAAATCTCAGGAAGCTTGGAGTAGCTTCCTTGTCTCCTCACTGTGCTCGTAGGCGTGAGTGGGCAGTGTGAATGACAGGAAGGATGGGAGTGTGTTTTTTGGAATAACATTATGGATTAGTGTGAAGAATTAGCTGTAAAGTGAGGTACACTGATGTTGGCAGTGTCTGAAGACTCAAAGGGACAAGTGTGTCTGCACCCTCTGGCCTCTGTTTTTCCATTTGTCTTGTGAAAGTTCCATCTTGGCATTTCAGGGTCGCTTTGGTGACTGTCATCCTGGGGGATGAGCTCCTTGAACTCAAGGCTCTTTATTCAGCTCTCAGAAAGAGACGTCTGCAGTCTGGAGATCCCCACGTAACCTGTCCCTCTGAATGTTTTTTGGGAGGGATCTTGGCTGCATTTTCGAGTATATTTGGTATTTCATGGATGTGATGTTGAGTTCTTGAAAAACGTGACTGACTTCCCGCTGTTGCTGCAACATGGCCGTCTGCACGGCTAAGACTAGGTGTTCCTCACTAAACTCTTAGTGGATGGCCATCTTTCAATTTTGAAGTGACAGACTTTTCTTTCTTTTTTTGGGCAGGGGGTTTGTGGAGGACCATCTAGGTGACTCTGCTTTCAGTTGACTTTAAGCAGTGCATATCTGTCTAGCTGAGGTGCTGATGGTAATCTTTGGAGATGGTAGGGGTGTTTCCCTGACCTCCCCCCTCCTGTTGTTCTCCCCAACTGAGGCGGGATGTGTGAGCCAATGCTCCACGCTCTCTGCTGGGATGAGCCTCGGGAATAGGGGCTGTGACTTCCTGGGGCTTTAGAGATTGCACATCAGGGCTGAAGCACTGATCTCAAAAACGGTAGATGCCATCTCAGTTGTGTTATGCAGATTACTCTTTCTGCATATCCTTCTCTCTGCATATGGCAGAGGTGATTCAGGCCTCCTACCTGGCGCTCAGCTATTTCCCGCCGCTCTCACAGTCACTTATCCTCACTCAAGCCACTCCCTTCTTCACAAATGAATAAAATCTGGGTTCCGTGCTGGGTATAGGTGTTCGTTCCCGATAGCCATCACCGTGGCTGGACATAACTACATTGTGGCTCCCCATAACTACAGATATGCCTTAGTGTCCTTATTCTCGCCATGGGTTGCACTGGAAGTGGTAGATTGGAATTAACTTGCTAGAATCCCAATAACTTTTCATGGGATTACACATACAAACTTCCTGGGCAGTGAAGAGGACTGGGAAGCGGGTGGTGGTACTGGGAATCGAACTCAGGACCTCACACTTGCCAGGTAGGCACTGTGATGCTGAGCTATATCCCCAGTCCACACTTTCTCTATGAGCTGCTTCCAGGGCTCTTCAACCAAGAATCTAATAGTAGGTTTTGCTTGTTCTCAACACATTACTTATTTATTTTTTAGTTTTTTTGAGACAGAGGCTTGCTATCCACAGGGTAGCCTTGAACTTGCTTTGTAATCCAGGCTGACCTCAAAATTTACAGTCTTCTTGCCTCAGCTCCTGGAGTGCTGGGATTATAGACCTATACTACCATGTCTGGCTTTAAGACATGTAGGTCTATTTGATACTATCAAAGGGTAGAAAAATCTTCATAAGATTTATTTTGTGCTGGACTTGGTGGTGCATACCTATAATCCAGTAGTACTTGGGAGGTTGAGGCAGGTGGATTGCCACGAATTCAAGGCCAGGCTGGGCTACATAGTGAGTTCACATTTTTTTTTTTTTTTTGTCTGTTTTTGAGACTAGATCTTGCTACGCAGTTCACACTGGCTTTGAGCTCACTTTGTAGCCCAGGCTGAGTCTCGAACTTAATACGATCCTCTTGCCTCAGCCTCCTGAGTGCTGGGATTGCACCACGCCTCTCTACATAGTGAGTTCAACACCGCCTAAACTCTACACTACATAGTGAGACCTTGTCTCGGGAAAAAAATTGTTTTGCTTATGATTGAACCTTAAATACCTATAGTTCACCCAACATTTGTGGTTTGTGTGTCCTTCACTTGTTTGACATTGGTTGTGAGACTTTTTTTTTTTTTTTTTTTT